CATCACACTCACTGCAATGTCGTTTTGTTGAGCAAAAATAGCAGAAACAGAACAAGAAAACAGACTATTTCCTGAAATATGCTTTCTTTTACAGTAATAAATGTGTCTTTTTCTGGTCAGCATGGATTTATTTTAATTTTAGTTGATAAAGCAGAATAAAGATTTATGCAGGTATGAAACGTTCCTGATAATGTTCTGTGAGCCCTGAACACATCCAGAAACACATAAACCAAGTCTGGATGGTAGGAACATGTAGACAGTTGTTTGCCAACCTGTACTCATGATTTGGTCCCTCCTCCACCTCGGAAAACGTCTGTTAATTTGGCTGCATCTTCCYTTCTTTTTCTGCCTGTTAGCTTTTCTGCTCCATCCAACTCTTTCTCCTTTCTTTTCTTTTCGACATGTTTGTTCATTTTACCCGCTCTCCTCTCGTCTTATTTTTTTTTTCAACTTCATGTTGGGACGGGCTGCTCGCCTTGTGTTTAACTGTTCCACCGGGTGCGCCCGCAGGGGCGGTGCCACGCGGGAGCAGAGCGGCAGCAGTGTTTTATGGAGAAGGGTCCAGCTGCATTTGGTATTGAACTGACAGGCGGTTCGGGAATCTTACCAAACGTCCATATTGCCACCACATCCCCTGTTAAAACTAACCGGAGGGAGGAGGGGGGATTTACTCAGTGTATCAGTCAAGTCCAGCCCGGAAAGAAGCACAAGTGTAAAAAGATACCCCTTTTCCACAGATATGGTGGAAATACCCCCACTAAACACTGACCCGCGCRGGTCCGTGTCTGAACATAAAATACCTCCCCTTTCCTGTGTTTTTTTGTACGCGGTTGGTACCACTGGCTGCCTGATTTGCGCCCCCGGGGGAGGACCTCAGTGACGAGAGGAGAATGTGTAGCGCTGAGCTAATACATATATGGTGATAGCGTCGAGGCTAATGCTAAAGCTAACAGGCTAAGCAGCTCTGTTGTCTTCATCCATATTTTCAGTTACAGGCTGAGTCATTTCTACCTTCTCCTCTCTGTCAACGCTCTCTGGTTTCATTTAAAAGAGTCGATCATCAGAT